AGTCCCGCGCGCGCGAGTACGCGAAACGCGTTGCTCGTCGATTTTTCGAGGAACAAACCTGAAAGGAAGATGAATGGTGGGCGCATATTTTAATTGCGCCGGAAGAAAGAGAGAGTGAGGCGTGTTTTTGTCGCTGCCCTTGATTATTAATTTAATTTCACGTCGCGTACGTACGCGTACGAGGGCTTGGCCGTAATAAAATCATCCGGGCGCGAAAACGTCGGGCAATGTGTTGAAAATTTTTTAATCCTCTACACACCATGTGACATAACATATCCCTCGCGAGTTTCATGAATATATGAATATACGACGCCGTAACCGTTTGCGTATATACGCTAGGGTAGGGTTAATAAAAACGTTAATAACGTAATGGAGACGTAGCGCGCAAATAGTGCGGGGCTGCGATATAAATTGTCACCGTTACGGGCCGTATTAAGCCTTAAAACGCTGCGAGTTGGTCTCTTCAGGAGGCGGGGTAACTTTAAAGAGGTACTAACGAAGTTTACCGGTTAGACCGCGGCTACTAGCGCGGCGGATTAGATTTTATGAATCCAGCGCGAGCGAGCGAGAGGGTAGCATCGGAAAGAACGAAGTCGCGGTGTAATCGCCGAGCGAATTGGATCGAGCGCGCACAATTCTCATTTATTTTCGCCGATCGATCTCCGCGCAAAAGTCCGGACGTACATCGCGTGTAATGCGATAGGGAAAAGCGCTTCTAGGCTCTTTTTTTAACACATTTGGGACGTTGACTCGCTGACATTTATTGATAGCGCGCGAACGTGAAATATTCCACGCCCGCCAACAAAACCGGCGCTGACGTTAAGTCGTGGGGAAAAAATCGCTCAACGAAGAATAATCCCGACACACTGTATGCTCAGCCGCGATTGACGTTTCCAAAAAGAGGCGAGCGCGCGCGCGCGGGCGAGGCGATTTGTCAGAGCGTTAAATGCGTTTGGCGCGAAAGCGGGGCCGGAAAATCCGCGTTGCGTCGCGCGCCAGCCCGGCCGCGGAAAGTAAGCCGTAATGTCCGTGAGACTAAATGCGGCCCGGACGTTGATCTTCGGTAAATTATTTTTAACGGCCACTTTGAGCTGCATCGCACGACGATCGCCGGTGGGAACTCCCTGGAAACGATCGTGCCAAAGTCCCACGTACGTCCTGCAAAGGCGATATAGGACCGACCGTGTCGGGCTGCGGAGCGCAGGACCGGAAGACTTATTTGCATTCTGGGTAACGTAACGTAACTCCTAGCCGGTACAAATGGAATACTCGCCATTCATATGCATATACGGGGAGAGGGGGCGGCCACCTTATCGCGCTTTGCCAATTAACCACCGCTCACCGCCCACCCGTCTCTTCAGCGGCGATCGCGGTAACCCCTCGTCGCCTCGGCAAATGGCGAAAATTCGTCGGCAGTTTCGCGAAATCGACACCGGAGCTATCTCGGCTCTCAAGTGCGCGAACGAGCGAGCAAGTGAGCGCGCGTTGCATCCCTTCCTGAATATGTATGAGGAAATCACGGGGCCGGAACTTAAAAGTACGGGGGAGATGCCCTCGCGATTATTAACCGTGCCGTTTAGTTCGAAGCGCGAGTTATGCGCGAGCTTGGGCTATAAAACGGTTAACACCTTAGGAAACGCTCGCCCGTGCGCAGCACTTTACGGTATCGCGCGTTGTTCCGCGTCGTCTTTGTGTTTGCGATTCAACGCGCGCTTCGACCTCGCTCGTTCAACACGCGCTTGCCTTTTCCGCTTTCTCTCTCTCTCTCTCTGTCGTTTAATTTTTACTCGCGATCGATCAATCAAATTTCACGTTTGACCGCTAAAAATGTCGGCCTGTCAATACGAAACTCGTCACAATCGGTATTTGCGCGCACACGCGAGATACACAATCGACAAGCGGTCGGTTATCGCGCACGAGCGACGACGATGATCGCCGGGATAGGAATGACCTCGGCAGTGCCACGTTAAACGTACGGGTTAATTAATTGGAAATTACAGAGAGCGACGCCGACGTGGGGGGTAAATTGCAGGAGATTCTTCCGTAGAAAAATTCTCCGTGAGAACCTTTTCTCAAAAAAGGTCGTAACGTTTAATCGTCCAGCGCGGGACGGTCCTCGCAATCTTGTATTTTCATAAGTGCAGAAGTTCCGGTGCTATACGTAAGCCGAAATTAATGTCGGATATATCTCGCCCCTTAGGCGCGCCCTTCTGAATATGCATGAGGAGTTAACGGAAACGTACTTTAATAGCGCGGAAATACCTTCATAATCATTACTGTACCGCGTTTTCGCGGAACGCGGCAGCGGGAACGCGCGCTAACCGTAAATCACCGTAACGCTTCCACGGTCTATTCTAAATTCAATTAAAAGTGAGTCCCTGCCCAATTTATAATGATGAGGCTCATAAACGCGAGCGTTTACGCGAGGTCTCTCTCTCTCTCTCTCGTTTTGTCGTGTGAAGGGTGAATAAATTAAGAGCCGAATTGCTGATAAATCTGATAAATCCCTCGTCTTACACGGATAGCCTGTCTCCCCCCCCCCCCTCGTGGTCGCGGGACGGATAAGCCTGCGGTAATTTCCGTGACGTTTCGCCATCGACGGATGAAAACACGCGATTTTGGCCGCCGGCCAAGATCCGCGAACACTCTTACGTATTACCGAAAATTTCCGCGCTGGTCCGGCTGGTAACGGGCGACGACCCGGCGCGCGGAGAGAGCTAAATGACGATTACACGTCGGCCCGAAATTCTCCGCGCGCGCGTTGCCACGTCGTGCGCGACGGCGTGTGCAATAGAGGAAGGGAGAATCACCGCGGCGGAATCAGGGAACAACGTCGATCGGGGGGGGATTAATTGTACGCGGAAACTCGCGGAGCTGTGCACGAAATTGTACCGCTTTGTTCGAGTACATTTTATGGATATATTCTCGCACGCTTCTCCGGCGATACAGCGAGTGTCTCGAGGCTGCGTGCACCACATGAAACAAAGGGCTTTACCGGCGTTTGGTCACACTATCCTGCATGGGCGATCCGATGGACAAAAGGACTCGGTCTCTCTATGCACACAGGAAGTCTCATTGTATCTGTTTAGCCGACCAGTATACGTATGCGTTTGCAGACGGCTTACCGGCTCCGCGGCCTACTAAATTTATCCTACCTCTCTCGCCCTCCTTCCTTGCCCTCTTCCCTTATTCTCGCGTCCTCGCCTCCATCCCGAAATTATTTCCACATTCATAAAACCCCGCGCCGTCGTGCGTCGGGAGATAAATCCTTTTTTCCCCGAGAACGGAGTAAGCAACAAAGCACCGCGCTCGGCGATAACTCAAAGCGTGAGCACGCTCTCTTGGTAAAACGGCCCGTGTACCAAACGCGTTCTGTGTTTGCGCCACGATAATAAAATTGTTCGATCCTCCTCCCGTCTCTCCCTCTCCATCCTCCCGTAAAGCCAGGATAGTTGAACGTAGTTGCTATCGCGCGGTGTCGGCCAGAATGGCGCACGTCCTTTATATTTAAATCAGATCGAACATTCGCGAGCTGCCTACACAGTCGCGCGTTCCGAAAATGATCGAACTATTATTCGAGAGTCCAGTGGAAGGGGGACGGGGTGTGAGCGAGAGGAGGGGAAGAAAGGTCGATGGTACGCGCGCGCGAATGCTCGTTTGGTTATCTAATTCTGCTGGAAGTTAGGCACCTATCGCGCCGCATGCAAAGTGCATCCGGAGAGGGTAGGTAGGTAGGGTACGATGTGGTTGGTTACAAACGGTCGGCAGATCCATCGCTGATTCGTGGCAGATTTGTTGGGGTAACAATGTGCACGCACACACACACACACACACACACAGCATCCCTCGCATCCAGCGTGCGCGCGGTCCTTCGTTGTCGGGGCGCATCGAGCGCGGAATTCCGTCAAACTATGCCGTCGGTGTCTGCTGACTTACGATTAGAGTAAATTCCGCAAATGCGAAGAATATTTGGCGTTTCGACGCGACAAGTCCGTCAATTCCGGCTCGCGAACCGACGCGCGAGCGATTGTCGGCTTTATCGACTATCGTCTCGCAGCTATCGGGAGACTCTCGTTAACGCGAATGGAACGTATTAAAGCCGTGCGCGCGAAGAATTTCCAGCTTCCGGCTGAGCGTAAAGATACGCGAGGCTCGCGCTCGTATACGCCGCGAAAAGAGAGAATTTCGGTATTCAACGTTATCGGCGAATTAACTCGACCTCTCGGCCCTCCCGGCGAGAATGCAGACGCGTTTCTTGTCCCTCCCTTGAAACATCCGCCCGATGGAACTTGGCGAGGAATAAGTTTGACGCGGCTACCAAGGGTCCATCCTCCGCGTTGCGGAGCTCGCCACGTTGCGCGGAGTTAAGCATCAAGTAACGCCGTGTTGTACAGACTAAACTTCGGACTATCCGGAGTTTCTTCGGCCGCGGAGTGAAACGAAATTAGGACATCGGAATATTCCCTCTTTTTCGGGTGGAGTTTTAACGCTCTGGGAGTGACAAAACTCGAAACTTGAGCTCGAGAGTACGTTGAAAGTAAAATAAATACGTTTCGCGAGAGAGCCGAGACGCGTGACGGGAAAGTCTGAGATATTCAGAAGTCCGGTTGTTTGTTGCCGGTGGTTTCCCGTAAGCATCGCGACGCTTCGTTCTATTCCCGTTTTTTTGTCTTCGGCAAACCGGGCGCGCCGGTGTAACCCAGTAAAACAACTTTATTGAAAAAGAAGCATTCGGTAGGAAGTTTCGACTGCAAAATGTATTCCATGTCACGCGTAAAAGACATATGTTCCAAGCGGAATAAATTTATCCAACTATTTTGCGCGCGGTGCGGCGCGTGCCATGTTTAGCTTAAAAAGTTTAAAAGGCGGAAAAATCTCGGACGCCGCGCGTATACATACATGCAGACGTGCATACATACATACATACGTATATACATACATACATATATATGTATATATAAATGCGTGTATATCGATCGATTTTTCTTCCTTTCCTACAGGCACAACGACCTACCCTGGAATATACGGAAGTTTCTGAAGAACCAGCTGAGGGAGTTCAGCTTTGATGACCTAAGGGACACCCATCCTTGGTCACGAAGCGCCTGGAGCCATACAGATCTCAGGAGATTGAAGGAGGGCATGGTTGCAGCGCAGGTGAGTTTAATAATAACGGTAATAACAAGAGTTCGGCCGGAGTTATTACTTCGTCGAAGTTCGCCCGACCCTATCGCGGAACTGATTGAACGTACGCCCGAAGTTTTTCATTTGTTACTGAGAGCACGCAATCTCGCAACAATTAATCTCATTTAATATACTCGCGATGCCAACGGAGGAATCGGGCGAGGAGGCAGGGAGTCGCGTGGTGGATCGGATTTTGAGAACAGCGTGCCTATGATGCGTCGACTCGACGTTCCACGATGCCGGTGACTCGACTTCGCCGAGATACTTTGTGAAAAATGTGACAAGAATATTATTAAACTCCTAAGAGGATTACCCCGGTAAAGTCGCTTATCAAGCGTAACTGACGACTCCTCGATAAAGTTTTAATTGCTTTAATTGCACGTATTATACGTCGACGTGTAGTACTTCCACTGTGCCTCCGCTTTTTCGTGACTATGATTTTTGTATACCGCACGCTCGCAATTTATTTTATCCGCTTTATTATCGACGAGAATTCACGTTGTATGGAATCGCGCGGAACAGCCAAGTGAAATAACAACGTCGCGAATTACTCGCCGGCTCTCTTTCTCGGTTTTCCAAAGCTGAGCTTCGCAATTAGCCAGGGCTTAACACGCGATTTTGCCGGGAGTTCGTCGTAGCTCGCGAGAGAGCGAAAATTAAATCCGTGTAAATGCGGAATCGCATGTCACCTTGAGACCGCCCGGCGCCGTCAAATTGCAATTAAATGTTCGCGCGCGAAACCCGACCTGCAGAGTCATCGGCAATCATAACTAATTTAAAGTCACGTTAATTCGGCCTGATTTAAATTTAAGCGGCTGGCGGCTCTGAGAACCGCGCGCAGTTGGTCGTTCACCGATATCGCAATTAAATGTTCGTCGAATGTTGCCGCTGTTGCTACCTGTTTTGTACGGGGATTATTAATTTACAACGTGCTGGATATAGTAGTCCGGTCATAAATCAAGCGGCAGAGAGGCAGCGGCGGCAGCACCGCGCCTAATTACAATTAATTGATTTTACGAAGATTTCGCGTCTACGTTTAACGAAACGCGAGCGCATGACGGTGCTCGAGCTCGAAAAACCGGATTCGCGGACATCACGATGCGAATATCTCGTGATTTCCATCCTACAGGTACGATTAAATTTTCGTTCCAAAAAAAAATTGAACCGGAAAACCCAGCCGTGTACGTACAAACGTACCAGACGTGCGTTTGACGGAGGAATACAAACTATAAAATACACACGCCGCGCATGAGAAAAAGAAATCTCGTCACTATCTCTCGTTATATAATAATAATAATGTTTCTGTTATTGGCCACTAATGGGTACAGAGTCGAAAAATATTGAAGATGCTATGTTAAAATCGACCAAAATGCACAGCTAGTTTTACTGCCTTGCTCAAATTTATATAAATAAATAATAATAATTAATAAAACAGCGACGACACAAACATATAATATTGAATTTATTATTATTATTATTGTTATTATTATTATATTTTTGAATAGTAACGACGCAACAAGATATGTTAAACAAATTATAATAGATAAATAATCATTTAATATTAAGTTAACAAGTAGTAAACGATAAACATAAATCATAAATCAGCTGTTCGATACGATATGTCTTAATGGCAGCAGAACAGAGGCATTACGGAAGTAGAAAAATTAATTATCCGCGCCGTGTGTCTTCCGAAACTACTCGGTGGATGAAATCTTCCGAGTCAAGCGCGGTCATCCAGAATTACCGGCAGGATCGGATCTTCCTTGGACCGTGAATTTAACGAATATAAATTCGGCCTTTCTCCGATCGCAGCTATAAAGCTACACTCGCGCGGCGCGGCACGGCGCTTCCGCCGGGCGCGATCGTTAATAACGGGGATTAATCTAAAATCGCAATTAAGATCTGACCGTAAAAAATCGCCTCTCGGTTCAATTAACGGCGGAAACGGCTCTTTAACGACCCGAGGAAAATCGAGGCGAACTTGGGCAATTAATTTCCTTCGGTTGCCCGACGTTCACGTGCCGCCGAAAATTTACCACGACACGTTTGGCTCCCGTCTCCCTCCCAGTTCTCCGTACTACCCCGAAATACCTTCGATTAATCCAACGGAAATCCTTTTCGAACCAGTTCAGTTCGGTATCGTTTCGAATAAACTTCGACATAGCGCGCGAAACTTTCCAAGAAGTCGGTCGATGTTTATCGAGCACCGGCTTCTAACCGCACACCCGAGACAGCCCGGAACACTCGACGGGGAACACGAAAGAGTGAAAAGACCGCAAAAAAAGCTAACCGCGAAAAAGAAAGATCGATGAACTGACAATATATATATATATATATATATATTTAGACACACGTTTCTACAAGAGCTCTCTTCGTTCCGCGAGGAAAAAGAGAGATTGGAAAAGGAGAAACGTCTAACAAAGTTCAACAACTTGTCGCTGAATAGCTTCGTGACGCGTCGATCACAATTAGATATAAACGTGAAAATTAAAACGAACGTTATATCTAAATAACTCGAATTCGCTCGATGTCGCTTCGGCTGACGTTGCGCGAATTCCTTCGCATGGAGACGGTTACCTCACGATATGGAACGGTTACCTCACGATATGGAACGTCCTCATTATCAAAAACTTCCCTTTGTGCGCCGCGCGTTTATTGCGTCTGAAGTAGCTTCAAAAGGAGAAGAGACGGGGAATTTATTTACGGTACTTGTGAAACGCGCGCGCGTTTACCCGGCGTGAGCTAGCGTGCTCTCGAATACGTGAAATGAATAGTCGAGAGTTAGCATAGAAGAAACGGGGGGGGGGGATAAAGACGAATACAATCGCAATGTGCACGCAAAGTAGTCTTAGTCTCTGATAGAAGTTTAGGGAGGGCGCGTGCGGAGAAGCGCGATGAGCAGAGAGGAGGAGGTAAAGATATTCTTTCTCGCTCGAACGTCGAATTTGATGGAGCATGGCCGCGCATATAGCCCGAGGTCCATTCAAACGGGAATCTTGGCTCGTATTAAATAAGCGATGCGACTCAATGGCACGGTAATAGCGGGTATACCGGTCCCACAGACCCGTTACGGGGCGATATAGCGCGCGAATCCATTTAGGAGCCGATATCGATCGTGTACGCGCGTCGCGTTATATACATTCTTAAATGCATCGAACCCCGGATTAAATCGGAAAGGATGGGCGGGAGGAAGAGGGGACGAAGAGGATTACCGGATTTCGGTCGCGCGAGTGCCGATATTCATTTTCGAGAGGTGGCGCGCGTCGCCCGTAAATCCGCGCGCCCTTTCAGACCGGCAGCGGCCGAGGAGGAGCGGCTCTCCCGCACTCCGGCTGTATGATATCCGTTAAGACGCATTACGAATTAACCGGGGAACGTTACTCCGCGCTACGGTGCGGTAGCGCGAGCGACAGGCTGCTGGTAGAGATAAATAATACATCGCGGCGGGTTGCTCCGGCATGAAATTTTCAGCCGTCGTAGGACTGTAGCCGCGGACGCTCCCTCAGAAATCGAGTATTTCCGGAGAGGCGTCGGATAAAAGCGTAATGCCGAAGATCACCCGATAACCTCCGTCGCAGGGAAGGAAATTTCTCGGGAGACCTTTGAAAATACCACCACTCTCGTTAGTAAGGCAGTCTCGGGGTGATCCCGCTATTAGGAACCGGTCTAGACGCGGTTATGGCAACCGTAGGCGAAGTGGTGAGCCATGATAAAGGGGACTAGCGCCGCTATCGCTGATCCGAAAAGTCACCCTCGTGAAAGCGCAATGTGGAATAAGGAGGCTCCGAAAAGGGACGCTGTTCTTGATCGCTCATGCCTTAATGTTAAGCGGCATCCGCTTACCTTCAGAGACGGAAGGGCAAAGAGGGAGGTGAGGAGGGAAAGCCAAACGAGCGAACGTTCCGCCCGTTGTTAAGGGGAATAAGCGTAAATGTGCGCCATTTAACATCGCGCACTGTGCAATGAAATTATTAATGCTATTAGATGGGATATTAATACGACGTGCATAATGATGTAATAAAGCGCGCACGACCGCGCCCGTGTTTACTGGGCGCGACGTACCGCGTTGCGAGCAATTTTTCATAATTAATGCCGATCCGCGATCGCAAGGCGCGCGTTCGTGCGCGCGAACACGCGGCGTAATAACGAGGAAAAATAATGAGGACGATAGAGCGACCGCGCCGAGCGATGGCCGAGTCGAGTGTAATTGCACGCCGGGGCTTCTTTTTGTAAATAGCTCGCGTTTGTACCGCGAGATGCATTAATAAAACGATTAAAATTGGCGGTACGCGGGATAACTGGAGAATTTCATAATCAACCGATACTCAGCAGAAAGGCAAGATGATATTACGCGTATCACTGTGGTGTAATAATAATAACAGAGAACGACACGCGCGTGCGATTATATTTCGCAATCGAAACTGTATTACTTTGATTAATAACGTAATTTTCCAATCGTGATCACACCTCTCCCTTTTCACTTTATCCCTTAAATATCGACGAAACTCTCGGGCGATGTTAATAAGAATACATTAAAAAGAGATAGAAACGGAATGCGTTCCTCAAAGAGACTACATCGTGGAGATTACGCGCCGACCTCTACGGATCCCTTAAGGTATCCAGCCTGGCAACGTCAGGACGAAAGGGATAACCGCCCGGTTATGTCCATTGGGACGGACGCGCATACACGCATCCACATAACGTATACATAACGCATACACGGTATACCGAATGTATACAGCTACCAAACCGAGTCCCGCCTCGATCTATCACTGTCCTGGTTAATTCAGACGGGCTGACGGTATCCACCGTGGAAGGTTACTCACCATTGATCGCGCGCCATCGACTTACGGGGATCTTACGTAACGTCTCGGAACGGGGATATGGACCTTCGCGATTTAAATGGCGCTTTTATGCGACCGTCGCCGCTGTTATCGATACCCGAGTCGAAATTTTAATTCTACATTAAGTTT